GGGACATATGCAAAGGCCTAAGTGCAGGAGCTTTCACCTACTGTGTCTCACTTGGCCCTAAGCTAGTCTTAATAGGCAGCTGTGATTATCCCCATTTTGCAGATCAGAAGTCTATCCTGGGTCTCTCCTCCAGGCAGCACAGAGCCAAGGTAAAGCTCAATAATCCTGGTTCTTCATTGTGGTCCGGACCTCTAGTGTGGGAGACTAAGAGCAGATACAAAGTAAGCAGCTGAGAACATAAGAAATCAGCGAGGGGAGGTCTGGTTTGGCCCTCCAAGGACTTTCACAAACGAAGGGAGGGCAAAACTACAGAAGCTGAGGCCGCAAAGCAAGACTGAGCATGGCTTGTCCAGGAGGGAAAATTATAATTAATAATAAGAACCAATGATAACTAACTTGTTTGGAGCACTTACTATAGTCCAGGTACTATTCTAAGAGATTTGCTTGCATCAAGTCATTTCATCTGCACAATAACACTATCAGATCGAGGTTATTCTTATCCCCACTTTATACATTTTTAAACTGAAACACCGACATTACATAGCTTGTAAAGTGGCAGAACCAGGATCCAAACTGGAGAAGCTAATTCCCAACCTTGCACTTTCAATGATCACAGGCCAGACAGAAGCAGCCCTGAATGTGAGACAAAGGCATCTGAACTACTACTAGGGCACTCATTACAGCAGGACTCTGTCTGTTGGTATCTTCTGTCTCCCTGTAGGTACCTGGTACCCAGCACAGCATCTGGGATGCAGGCCTAAGTTTTTAAACGACTGCACAACTGTGACATGGGACTGGAGTGTGGGGCACCACATCTAGGGCTCAGTTGCAACCCTCTCTGCTCTGCTAAACATTTTTATCAGTGGTTTCAGATGAAGCAGAGGAAGGTATGAAATACTGATCAGATCTACTGTTGTCATGAAGTTGGGAGAGACAGTGAACACTCCAGAAACCAGAATCAGTTTCTTAAAGATCTCTGCAGCCTTGGGGGCTGAGCTGGACCTCTCAAGATGCGGTGCTACACAGAATAAGTGTAAACTCCTGCGCTTAGGCTCAAACCAGAGCGGTTCCACAGAACTTTCTGAAATGATGGAAATGTCCTGAATCTATGCTGATATGGCAGCCACTAGCCATCCGTGGCTATTGAGCACTTGAAATGTGGCTAGTACAACTGAGGAACTGCAAATTTAATTTTATTTATTTTTAAATACCTTAAATTTGAATAGCCATATGGGGCTAGTGGCTACCATACTGGACAGTGCAGTTCCAAATGATCATGTGTCCCAAATACAGTATAGAAAGAGTCTAGATTAAGTACACATTCAGTGAAAATGATTTTAAGGTTTTAGTTGACCTCAAGCTCAACAGTGCGATGTAGCTGCAAAAACACAAAAAGAAAGGAAAGCAAGGGAGGGAAAGAAGGAGAAAGAGAGAGAAGGAGAGAGAAAGGAAGGAAAGAAGGAATGAGCAGAAGGAGAAAGGAAAGGAAAGAAGGGAGCAAAAGTGGCTGTGATTAAAGTATCCATAGAAACCAGAGGTCAGGCCAGCCCTGTACTGCCCTAGATGGATCACAGCTGGACACAGGGCTGAGCTCTGGGTCCCACATTCTGAAGGGGACACTGGATGATGTCTAGAGGCAGAGACCATAATGTTAAGGACCTGTACACTATGCTGTATGATGAATGATTTAAGTAGCCTGGAGAAGAGAACACACAAGGGAGCTGTGGGGAATATCTCCAAATATCTCATACAGAAAGGAGATTTGATTTGTTTCCTATTATTTAAGTCTAATAAAAAAAAAACCAAGAAATTCTGGATAAGTGAATCCTTAGGCCACATGCTCTGAAGGAAGGATCCATGTCAAATTTATCTTTCTGTTCCCCTTAGCACCTAGTCCACCCAGGACCTGGCTCATATTAAACATTGACTATTTGCTAACTGAATGGATATGAAAGAATTCCACCCAGCTCCTATGGGTAGACATCCAGAAAGATAATAAAGAATTCTCTAACAGTCAGAATTACCTAAGAGTAGAATGGACCATCTTAGGAGTGATGAACTCATTGTCAATAAATGTATTCAGGCGGGCGTGGCGGCTCACGCCTGTAATCCCACCACTCTGGGAGGCCAAGGCAGGTGGATTGCTCGAGGTCAGGAGTTCAAAAGCAGCCTGAGCAAGAGCAAGACCCCGTCTCTACTATAAATAGAAAGAAATTAATTGGACAACTAATATATATAGAAAAAATGAGCTGGGCATAGTGGCACATGCCTGTAGTCCCAGCTACTCGGGAGGCTGAGGTAGCAGTATTGCTTGAGCACAGGAGTTTGAGGTTGTTGTGAGCTAGAGCTCACACAGCACTCTAGCCTGGGCAACAAAGTGAGACTCTGTCTAAATAAATAAATGTATTCAAAGAAAGATTGGGTCGTCATTGGGAGGCTGAACCAGGAACCAGGTGACCCCTCAAGTTGAAAAATGGGTAAGTTCTAGTTCTATTATGAAGGGAAAGAAATTGGTGAGGAGGGACCAGAAGCAGGGAGAACTTGTTAGGAACCATTGCAGTAGTGCAGGAGATAAGAAAATAGACACAGAGGTAGTGGGATTGGAAAGCTAACGACAGGCTTGAAAGGAGCCCTGGTGTAAGCCTGGGGAGTCAGGAGCTGTAGGTTCTAGTTCTGCCTCTGCCATTAACTTATTGTGTGGTCTCAGATAAATCCCATACCTTGGGTAAATCCCTTCCCTTCTTCTGATTTCAGTGTCACCATTTGTGAAACACAGAATAATCTCCAAGTTCCCTCCTAACTCTGGATTCTGTGAATGGGAGAGAGATAATGAAGGATAACTGGGATATCCCTGGATATCTAATACATATCCAGATGTATTAGAAAGCCTTAACAAGCCTCACAGTAATAATATCATCATCATCATCATCATCATTATTATTATTTCACAGGCAGCCTTGCCAGGACTTGGTGACTGGACTGGTAGGAGGGGACAAAAAAGAGTCAAGTGGACTGTGTCTATAGGGGTGGGATGAAGGGCAAGGATCTCTGATCTTTTGGGAGGGTCAGCTAACTACTCTATCCCTCCCCCAAGATCTGTGAAGATAAACAATGTTCTATGCCCTGTCAGCTTGTGAACTGCTTCCTCATTCCTTTGAGCCACACCTTGTACTTAGTTAAAAGAAGCAACCAGTTCTAGGAAAAGTTAGACTCTGTTCCCCTCCATTATATGTTCACAAATGAGTCTTGGTCTGAGCCTTTCCTTAGTATCATCATCTCATATGGAAATAGTCAAAATTATTGAGCACTTAGTAAATGCTAAGCACTTTACTTAGATAATTTTCTCATCCTGGGAGGCAGCTCTAATTGTTATCTCTACTTTATAGATGAGCACACCATGGCTCATGCAGATCTGCAATTTTCTCACAGTCACACAGCTTATAAAAAGGATTCCAATACAAGTCTGTGTGATTTCAAGACTGCATTCCTAAAGATTTCCAGCACTTTAGTATGTATTTTTCAAACAGCCTAGGAAGAAGAGCAAGATCAGTGTTGTCCCCAGTTTATAGCCAGGGAAACTGAAGGTCAGAGAGGTTAAACTTAATAACTTGGGCCAGTTAGTAAAGTCTTCCACAGTGCACTTCAGTGCTCTTTCACTTCTCAGAGCTTTCCTCTGTCCTCCCAGCCCTATGGGTAGGGACTTGCCCAGCCTACTTAAGGGAAGGACTTTTACTTGTCCTTTTCCTGGGGGAAGGGAAAGGTTTCCAAAAGGTGAATGTTAATTTCCACCTCCCCTCCCCACCACCACCAACACACACACCCCAGCCCAGAGCCTTGTGGTGACAGGCGCTGAAGGCTTATGGAATGAGTCATGTGGGGCTGACCTGCCAGAGTCACCCAAGCACAAGGTGCTAAGCTTAGTTTAGATGAGCGGAAAAGTAGGCCAAGTGTTCTCATCATCAGGAGTATGGCCCAATTGCAGCTTGTGCCCCCTACTCATCTCACCACAAAATACTGCAAACATTTGGGAAAATTGTGCAAGGCCTTGGGGACAGAGGGGGCACATGACAAATAAGAATGCATCCCCACCCTTCAGAGGGAATGAGATCATAAGTACAAAGTAATATGTATTTATAAAGAGTAGTGGGGGCACATGATGATTTAATTCTGAGGACAGAAACACCTGAAGGAGCTGAGATTAGAGTGGAGTCTCAAGAGTGGGTTCAGGTCGGGCGAAGTGGCTCATGCCTGTAATGCTAGCACTCTGGGAGGCTGAAGCGGGAGGACTGTTTGAGCTCAGGAATTCAAGACCAGCCTGAGCAAAAGCGAGACTCTGTCTATACTAAAAATAGAAAGAAATTAGCTGGACAACTAAAATACATATAGAAAAAATTAGCCAGGCATGGTGGCACATGCCTGTAGTCCCAGCTACTCAGGAGGCTGAAGCAGAAAGATTGCTTAAGCCCAGGAGTTTGAGGTTGCTGTGAGCTAGGCTGATGCCACAGCACTTTAGCCTGGGCAACAGAGTGAGACTGTGTCTCAAAAAAAAAAAAAAAAGAGTGGGTTCAGCACACAGAAGAGGTAGAGGAGCACTCCAGGCTGCAGGAATACACATGTTTGAAGCTTATTTATATTTGGACCCCACCTAGCAGGCAGTAGAGAGCCATGGAGTACACTATGGCTTTGGAGATAGTCTCTGAGTTTGAATCCTGGCTCTGCCCCTTCCCAGCTGTTTGACCTTGGGCAAACTCAACCCCTGTGGTTGAGATACTATTGTTCTGCATTATTTGCTCTTCCCCTTGCCAGTAAGAGGATTATACATCCCAGAGAGTTGCCATGTGACTTGAGTACCCTCCAGAGGAAGGAGTACACTTCCTCAGCTCTCTGTCAAGCTTGACCACATGACTTACTTTGGCCAGTGCAATATGAGCTGGAGAGCTGACTGCCAGTTCTAAGCAGAAATGTGAGAGCCATTGTATGTTTAAGTCAAAAAATCTTACTTTTTTTTTTAATCTCTGCCACTGGAAAGGTGTGTCCTGGGTAGGAGGTGTGCCTTCAGCCTGCATCCTGGAAAGAAAAGATACAAAGCAGAACAGCAGTCAACCCACAGCTGCCTCACAGCTACTGATGTGTAATGCGATGAAGAAAATTGTATCAATATAAGCCACTGAGATTTTGGAGTTGTCTGTTATCTCATCATAACTTAGGAAATGCAGACTGGCACACCCCTCTACAATGTGGGTGATTTCAGTAGTACCTACCTCACAGAATTGTTGTGAGGACTAAATAAGATTATCTCATGAAAAATGTATAATCATTTTATAAGAGATTTGCATTATAAAATGACTACTTTGCCCACACAAATATGGAAATTTGATAAACAACATAAATGGCATTTGAAAAACACTAGTGAAAGGTGGTACTATACAGTGGGTTGAATAGTCTTCCCCTCAAAAAAATTCATGCCCCTCCCCCCAGAACCTTAAAATATGAACTTATTTGGAAATAGGGTCTTTATAGATATTACTGATTCAGGATTTCAAGAATAATTCATCCTGGATTTAGTGTGGGCCCTAAATCCAATGACTGGCATCCTAATAAGAGAAGACACATACACAGAGAAGACACTGTGAAGATGGAAGCAAAGGTTAGAGTGATGTGTCTACAAGCCAAGGAAGGGCAAGGATTAGTGGCAACCACCACAGGCTAAGAGAGAGGCATGGGACGCTTTCCCCCTCAGAGACTCCAGAAGGAACCAACCCTGCTGACACCTTTCAGACTTCTGTACTCCTAAACTGTGAAAAAACAAATTTGTGTTGTTTTAAGCCACCCAGTTTGTGGTAATTTGTTATGACAGGCCTAGGAAACTCATACTAATGAATTATTTAAAAAATAATACTGAATAATTGGTTATTCATTTGGAAAAAAAATAAAATAAGCTTCCTACCTTATAGCATACATGAAAATAATCTTCAGTTAGATTAAAGACCTACATTTCAAAAACAAAACATTAAAATCTTTAGAAGTAACTAACAAAAATCATCTTCAGTACCTCAGAGTAGGCAAATATTTCTTCAACAAGACACAAAAAATCACATGTTGTATTAGTTTGAGTTCTTCAGAGAAACAGAACCAATAAAAGAAAGATAGAGAGAGAGAGATTGATTAGAAGACACTGACTCACATGGTTATGGAGACTGAGAAGTCCCAAGATCTGCAGTCAGCAAGCTGCAGACCCAGGAAAGCCAATGGTTTTGTTCCAGTCTGAGTCTGAATGTCTGAGAACCAGGAGAGTCAATGGTATACATTCAGTCCAAGTAGAAGTCCAAAGGCAAGAGAAGACCAATGTCCCACTTGAATACAGACAGGGAGAAAAAATTCTCCCTTCCTCCACCTTTTTGTTCTATTCAGGCCTTCAAGGGATTAGATAAAGTCCACCTACATGGGAAGGGCAATCTGCTTTACTCAGTCTACAGATTCAAATGTTAATCTCATCTAGAAACATCCTACAGATACACTGAGAATAATTTTTAACCAAATCTCTGGGCACCCCATGGCCCAGTCAAGTTGACACACAAAATTAACCATCACACAAATCAAAAATAAAAAGGGCCGGGCGCGGTGGCTCACGCCTGTAATCCTAGTACTCTGGGAGGCCAAGGCAGGCGGATTGCTCAAGGTCAGGAGTTTGAAACCAGCCTGAGCAAGAGCGAGACCCCGTCTCTACTAAAAATAGAAAGAAATTAGCTGGACAACTAATATATAAAGAACAAATGAGTAGCCGGGCATGGTGGCACATGCCTGTAGTCCCAGCTACTCGGGAGGCTGAGGCAGAAGGATTGCTTGAGCCAAGGTTGCTGTGAGCTAGGCTGACTCCACAGCACTCTAGCCTGGGCAATAGAGTGAGACTCTGTCTTAAATTAATTAATTAATTAATTAAATAAAAGAACTGACCGGTGCAGTGGCTCATACCTGTAATCCTAGCACTCTGGGAGGACGAAGCGGGAAGATTGCTTGAGCTCAGAAGTTTAAGATCAGCCTGAGCAAAAAACGAGACCCCATCTCTACTAAAAGTAGAAAATTAGTCAGGCACTGGGCATGCACCTATAGTCCAGCTACTCGGGAGGCAGAGGCAGAAGGATCACTAAAGCCCAGGAGTTTGAGGTTACAGTGAACTACCATGACACTACTGCACTCTAGCCAGGGCAACAGAGTGAGACTGTCTCAAAAAAAAAAAGGAAATTGAACCTCACTTCCCCTCTTAATATTAAAAATAATAACAATTTTTTTTTAAATGAGGCCAGGCGAGGTGGCTCATGCCTGTAATCCCAGCACTCTGGAGGCCAAGGCCAGAGGATTTCTTGAGCTCAGGAGCTCAAGACCAGCCTGAGTGAGCCCACGTTTCTATAAAAATTAGCCAGGTATGGTGATGCGAGCCTGTAGTCCCAGCTACTCAGGAGCTGAGGCAAGAGGATTGCTTGAGCCCAGGAGTTAAGGTTACAGTGAGCTATGGTGATGCCACTGCACTCTAGCCAGGGCGACAAAGTGAGACTCTGTCTCAAAAAGGGAAGGAAGGGAAGGGAGGAAGGGGGAAGGGAAGGGAAAGGAAGAAAAGAAAAGAATTGATATAGTCACTATAGTAAATGTAGAAATTCTGTGCATCAAAAGATGCCATAAAGAAAGATAAGCCACTAACTAGGAGAAAACCTCTTCAATGCTTTTTGGCTAGCAAAGGATGAGAATCCAAAATGTATAAAGACTTTCTAACAATCTATATTAGATAAATGGACAAAGGATGTGAAAAGAATTCACAGAAAAAATAATAATGGCCAAAAACATGAAAATGCTCTACCTCACTAGTAATAGACTTGTGCAATATATGATGTGAAGTAGGAAATATATAGGCCTTTGATTTAGCAATTCTACAGCTGGATATAAACCGGGGAAACTCTGGAACATTTGCAAAAAGAGACATGTTCCAAGATATCTTTGAAGTATTGCTTATAATATGAAAATTGGAAACAACTTTAAATGTCACTATAGGTAGAAAATATAAATTGTAGTAATATCATATAATGAAATAGTACACAGCAGTGAAATATAAGAATATGGATAATTTTCAAAACATAATGTTGGTAGAAAAGAGGATAAAACTTATATAATTTATATTAAGCTTAAAAACATAGAAAGCAATAGTATGTATTATTTAAAGATATTCATACACATACTAAAAGTTATAAAGATGTTGCTACTATGTTCTGAATGTTTGTGCCCCCCCCCCAAATGCATGCATTGAAATCTAATCTCAATGTGACAGTACTGAAGGTGAGGCCTTTGGGAGATGATTAGGTGCCTCATGAATGGGACTAGTGCCCTTATAAAAGCTAGTTAGCCCTTCGACATGTGAGGACATAGCAAAACCACAGTCTGTGAGAAAGTGGGCCCTCAACGACAACACCACCTGAGCTTGGCCTTCCCGCCAGAATTGTAAGGAATAAATTTCTGCTGTTTATAAGATACTCAGTCTAAGGTATTTTGTTATAACAGCAAAATGAACTAAGAGAATTGCCATGGTTAAACACCAACTCAGGATAGTGACTATCTCTTGTGTAGAGAAGGAAGGGATTAGGATGGAGGAAAGGTACATAGGAAATTACAATGGTATTGTAACTTTTTTTAAGTTGGGTATATATAGTGCTCACTATTATATAATATACTTTTTCTGAAATATAATTAATATATGCTAACATTCATCATTTTAAAGTGTATTATTTAGTGGTTTTAGTATATTCACAAGGTGTGCAACCACCACCCACTCTCTAATTATAGAACATTCTCACCCCAAAAGAAACCCATGTCCATTAATAGTCACTCCCATTCCCACCTTCTTCTATTCCTCAGCAACCACTAATCTACTTTCTGTCTTGATTGATTCATATAAATGGATCAAACACTATGTATTATTTTGGACTGGCTTCATTCACTTAGCATAAGGTTTTCAAGGTTCATCCATGTTGTAGCATCAATCAGTATTCTGCTCCTTTTTATGCTGAATAATATTCCATTGTACAGATATATCCATTCATTAGTTGATATATCCATTCATTAGTTGATGGACATTTGAGTTGTTTCACTTGTTGGCTATTACAAATAATGATACTATGAAATCGTATACAATTTTTGTGTGAACATATATTTTCATTTCTCTTGGGTATATACCTAGCAGTGGAATTGTAAGTCATATGGCATCTCTATGTTCTACTTTTTGAGAACTTCCAAAGCAGATACCCATTTTACAAGTCCCACAGCAATATGAGTATTCAATAACACTTGTTATTGTCTCCCTTTGATTATAGTCATCCTAATGAGTGTGAATAATATGCACTAATACTTTTTGGTATAACTGAATTATTTTTGTAATAATTTTTAAATTTAGTACTTAAAAAGAACACTGTGGTGTCAGGTATGGAGGACAGACTGGTAGTGGTTGAAACAGAAGGCCAGCAGGAGGGTGCTGCAGATGACCCAGAGAAAGTGTAGACAGGCATGGCAGGAGGCACAGAGAGGCAGGGCTAGGGTGCTTCTTAGAGCGCAGTGCAAATCTTTAGAGTGGAATTGATCAGTTCAGAGTGTTACCAAAGTAGCTCTGAAATGAGGCAGGTTTTCTGGTGCCTCAAATCCTCCCTCACACAAGAGCCAAACTGCCATTGAAGAGCTGTCAGAAATTGATATTGGAGGAGGGGCCAATAATTCTGGAGAAACTTTTATCACGGGATGATTTTGGACTAGTCCTTTTCTTTTTCTGACCTAAGTTTCCTAATATGTGAATGAAAGATTTGAGTGAACAGCTGTCTCTAAGAGTTCTTTCCTCTAGGACATGCTAGGACTATAAGTCATGAGTCTGTCCTAAATAGAAGGAAATTCCTGAGATCAAGGTCTTACGTAGAGAAGTTCTGGCTTTTATTTTCTGAAAATAAATTAAGCTCAAAGATTTGAGAAAAGGGACATAAGTATTTTGACCTCAACGATGTTTGACTGTGAATACAAACATTTTGTTTAGGATATAT